CTCATGAATCCTCTTAGTGGTTGTTTCATTTTTCATCTTCCCATTGGACTCAAAGAAGTTTTTCAGTCTCTGTATTTGGGGCTGTAGGTTGCTATAGGTGTCTGTCCTGTGCATTGTAGGATGTTAGCAGCCTGCCTGGCCTCCACTCACTAGATGCTTGTGACTCCCTTGTGGGACAATCTGAAATGTCTCCTGGGCATACACTTGTCTTGGATTGAGAACCACTAACCTTGACAGAGAACTTGGGACACATCTGCATTTCAGTGCAAAACCTAGTTTAGACATGTTCTTTTTTGTATTTGGGATACAAGATTCCTTTTTGTGGTCTATATTGGGTGAATGTCTAAAAGTAGAAGCTTAAGGAAGACAGTTCCAGGTAACCATTAATTCTGAAAGAAAACAAAACACAGCAACTGAATTTTCAGTCTAACTGAGTAATTCGGGCAAATGCGGTTTTTGTGCTCTATTTTCTAGCATAATTGCTTCAGGTTTCTATTTGCCAGGGCAAGGGATGAGCTGGTCGCACATGTAGAGGTGCTGGAGTGACAGCTTGGAGAGAGGAGAAAGTTTGGGGTAACATCTTTCAAACTTTTCCAATGGGTTAGGAGCCTTCTGGCCATCCTAAGATATGTACTAGGAGAACAATCCTGCTATTCTTGAATTGCTTCTTCCTACTCAATGATCATTTCAATGGAAAAGAATGACCCCCAACATTTAGGGTTCATAGAATTAAGAAAAATAGTGTGTAAAAGGATTAAGGAACTACCTGAGACAGCTTAAGAAGATGAGGTAAGGAAAAGCTTCAGCTTCCATCCACATCACATCATCAAACATTTGTTGTTGATCATGGAGATGAGGACGGACGAGGGAAGGGCAGGTGGAATTAGATTCTAATTTGGCACTTGCTTAGGAGTTTTCACAGTTGTAGTCTTTATTCCTAATTAACTGACCAGGTTTAAGGAGATTAGATGACTTAGTAGGTTTTCTAAATTTGACCCAGGGGTGCTAAATCCTCTGGATTCATAGTGAAAAGAACAAAAGCAATTAATTTTTCTCTAGTTCTGTATTTTGATTGAGGAGGCCGATACATCTAGCAGGTTCATGGAGGAATTCAGCGCCATGATGGTGAGGCCTGTGATATTGTGGGAGGGTAGGAATGAGGAAAAACGTTGGAGAGAAGGAAGATGTGGGAGATTTGGAGAAGCATAAGAAAGGGGACGGGGATTGAAGCTCAAAGAGAAAGGACAAGCTTTCTACATGAAAGAGATTAGAATCCTGGAGTGTAAGAGAATCCTGACAAGCAAATAACTAAGGTAAAAAAGGAGATGTCCTTTTTTTGTTTCCTTGCAGTTGGAGGTAAATCCCTGGGGTCTAAATCCCCAGGCACCCCCATGATCCATGGGGCTGTTCTCATAATCCCCCCGAGTCCTGACATGGTCAGCGTGATGTGCAAATGAGGCAAGAACCCGTCTCACAGGTGAGAAAGTGAGATTTGGAAAGACAGGGCTCAGTCGAGTCCCTGAGGTACTTGGAGGGATTTCACTGCCATTACACTGCATGGCTGCCTGGGTCAGCAGTTTCTCAGATAGCAGATTTTACAAGAAGTTTTCACAAAGATGATTGAGGATTGAATCGATTTCTCTGAAGAAGGGAGATGCTAGAGGGGGAAAATGCTGAAAAAGAGGAGGCATGTTTAAGCGAGTCTTCCTTTAATGGTAAGTTTTACATTTGTTGGTTTCATTTAAAATATGTTTTTCAATAGTTTAGCTGAGTCATTTAAAATATGTTTTTCAATAGTTTAGCTGGGAAATGTATACCTGAATTGGTGGTGCTGGGTCAAGAAATAGGTGGGACAATTAAAGAGAGGGGAATAGCCTTCTTTGTTTTGTGTGTGTGTGTGTGTGTGTGTGTGTGTGAGGTCAATCATCCCTAAATTCTTGGGTGACAAAGTCTGTGGGCCTTTACCTGTGTTGAACTGTGAACCCCAGCATCAGGCTTGAGTTGTGGCTGGAGGCCAGAGAGACGATGCAGCAAATAGGCTGGGGCCCCCTCGTGCTCTCTGACCTGCAGTTACACCTGGTGCAAAGCCAAGCCAAGCCTGTTTTTGGAATAGATAAGTCATCAGGTTGTGTGACCTTTCATCCAGAGGATGGAAGTTTCCAGCACTCAGGAGAAAATGGGCTAAACAGGTAATGAAATCAGGCACCTGAGAAGATAGCATTTTGTTTTTGTTCTGTGTTGGGTAAAAATCTCATTTAAGGATGAATAAAGAATTTCTTCATCTGCCCTGGGCAGTTGCTGGCTTCAATTTATAGCTGAATACAACCACATGGACTTATTGGTCCAGTCATTATTCCATTTTCAGTGCAAGGAGGAAATGGAAGACCACTTGACATTTTGATGAAATAGTGAGGAAATGAAATAATTCTCTAGACAAAGGTACACATGGCATGGATTTAGAGATAAATGAACACTCCATCTCCACAAGAAAAGTACAATTCTATTTGTGTAGAACTTATCATTTTGGATCAAAACTTGATTATATTTCAAAAGCAGCAAGGTAGAAGTGAAACCTGTCTGCATTTGAGCAGTACATAAATCCAGAGAAGAGAGAGTCAAAGGACTTAAATGGAAACATCCTTGAAAGTAGCATTAAAAGGCTAATGACTGGGAGATTAGGGTTCCTGCCTTTTAGCAGAGTTATATTGGGGTTTGAGCCCATTGTCTGCATCTAATGCTTTGTGAACATCAGTGCATTCCCAGGTGCTAACACCGTGGACAATACCGAGAACCATCAGAGTATAGCATTTAGTCCTTTGAGAAAAGCCAGTTAAAGTAAATGCCATTGCTGTTATGCAGCTTGGGTTATATCCAGTTGTATATAAGAGATTTTAAAATGTGGTAATTATAATATCTCCTATGGAGAGGAATTGGGGGAGGATCCCTGTAACTTTCTTCCATCAGAAAGGTGAGGGGGGGTCTCCCCTAGTATTGCAGGCGGTTGAGCACACAGCACTGTGGAGCTGTCTTGCAGCCTCTGCAGCACCGGTTCGATCCTGGCTGGCTGGTGAGGGTCCCACATGGTGCGGCAGACCTCTCCTGTCTTGTCCACTGCTCCCCTCAGCAGTGTACTTCGTCAGTCTGCCTGTTCTGTTCCCTGCTCTGTCTCTGGTGAATCCTGTCACCCTGCCGCACCTCTGGCCTGTACCCCGGTTCTTGTATAAATAAATAAATAAATCTTTAAAAAAAAAGGTGAAGGGGACCATGGCTGGTGTTCAAAATTGGAGTAGTGTCCTCCATGTGCATGAATAAAAGATGCAGTAGACCTAAGTGTAAAGGAGCCAGAGAGGCCTCCAAGGCCGCAGGGATTTAGGCATTAAGTCTCTTGGGGCATCCCTTGGACTTCTGGGTAAACTGCTGTCTGATAGAGGGCCTTGCAGAAAGCACAGTCCAGTCTATGAAGAAGCATACTGGTTAAAAGTGTGGGCTCTTCAGTCAAATAAACTTGGGTTTGAATCCAAGCCTTGCCACTTACTGGCTTCTATGGTTTTAGTCAAATTACTTTACTTCTCCAAAGTCTCGGTTTTCTCCATCTTTAAAGTTGAGATAATAGTCTACCAACTCGCAGGATTTGGTGAGGATTAATGAGATCACCCGTGAACTTCACACACGGCTTCCTGGCACACTGTGAGCACTCAAGCCATTAGGGTTATTTTATTTCTTAAGACATATGTAATCAAGCTTCATCATATGACAGAAATAGTGAGAGCATGGCCTACAAGACAAAGCTGGGAGCCCCCCCCAAAACAGCCACCTCTAAGAGCTCCTTGGAGGGAGCCAGTGAATGCCCTATCCCCATCATGCAGGCCTGGACCCCCTTAACCTCCCAGCTCCAATATTCTACCTCGTCCCAAACAACCTGGTAGACACAGTGACTGGTCCCATGCTGTGACTTAATTGGGATTTTTGCTGTAAGAAGTTTGAGTTAAAGAGATTGAAGCTTTGTCATTTTTTGGTTCCATAGCATTTGGTTATATAAGCTTCATGTTTTCTTCACTTTAGTTTTCTCCAGTGGTTTTTTTTTTTTTTTTTTTTTTTTTTCTTAAGAACAAAAAGAGGTTGCAGGAAGAGCTGGCTATGGCTGCTGAGGGTGTGGTGGGACACCATCAACTCCCACATGCCTGCCACTGCGAGGCTGGAAGCGTGTCAAGTTGTATTTGTTGACCTATTCTGGTCATTCTGTAGGAGACTTGGCCAGTGCCTCATATTTTGAAAACCAAGGCAAGAAGTATGCTACTGAGTTAGCAGGAGGAAGTACTGTAATGTGAACGGTGCGGCAGATTAGAGTCACTAGAGAAAGAGTAAGATTAGAGAGAAGGGAAAGACAGAAGGATGAGAGAAGACAGGGGAGGAGAGAAAATGAAATTCTGTAGGTAGAAATGGAAATTGAAGAGAAATGATGTTCACTGATGCTGATAAATCTTAAGAATTAGGAAGTGATGATATAGGTAGGGTGTGTGATGGCTAGAAAATCTCAAGGAATTGTAATTAGGAAGTGGCTTTTGAGGCATTACGTGATCCATCTCCCTGTCTTTATAACTGAAGAAAGAAAGGAAAGAAAGAGAGAGAGAGAGAGAGAAAGAGAGAGAGAGAGAGAGAGAGAGAGAGAGAGAGTCTCCTTTGTCTCCCTATTTGGTGAAACCAGGGGATTGGAATATGATTTTTAAGGTGTTTTCCAAAGCTAATGATCTATCAATTTTTAAATCCTATCTATATTTAAGATTCCTTATTGGTAAAGATATATCTTACTGTGGTCTGGCAACTTCCATGAAAGCCACTTCATGATGGATGGTTGTATTTGATTTTCTCAGTCCTCAAAGAAGTCAGGATCATAATGCCCTTCAAAGTTTTAAGTAGCTTATACAGCATGGTCATTAAAAAAGTTGACCACCCGCTGATATGTTCTGGAACCAATCCTGAACTTTTGGGAAAGTAAGATTCTAGACTAGAACCAGGTCCTAGAACTTTCTGGCATTCCTTTGCGGGCTTCCTCATTGTTATCTATGATATCTGTCTCCTTGGTGTCCAGGTTTTCCATTAAATACAGCACATCAGGAGAGACCGGAGAGCCAGCCACAGAGTTGATGCCACTGGCCTCTGAGGATGTTTCTGTGTCAAGTAAAAGAGCTGGCTCAGAGCTCACAGTATCTGGATTTATGCCTGCCAGGGACGGGTGGCTGGACTCCAGGAATCCCGGGAGGCTCCACCTTTTCCGGAACAAGTCATTCTCATCGGCGTATTCCTCAGGGGTTACGCTGAGGAGGTTTCTCTCAGCTTTGCCTGAAACAGCCTGGAGGCTGTGGTCTTGAGGCCGTGTCTCCTCTGAGGGGAACATCAACAATTCCACAGGGTCCTCCTGCTGCCCAGGCCCGCTTGGCTGAACCCCGGTGAAGTCTGAGCTGCGGATGGAGGCCAGAGAGTCGTGGAGATCCTCTGCCTCTGTAATCAGCACCTCGGGGACCTGCGGCATTTTGGTGGGGGAGCCACTCACGCTGGCCTGGGGAGTCAGGCTCTGTAACGTGCTCGTCCGGCTGGTCTCCCTGATGGTGGACAGTTCCCCCAGGCTGGAGTGCATCTTGGGGCTCCCCTCCCGGAAGTTGGGTTGCTTCTGGGAGGCTGAGGCCCGGTGGGGGCTCCTGGGCGGCACGTCCAGCAGATCCCTGGTTGGGCTGAGGTCGAGGGGCGGGAAGAACATGGAGCTGTCGCTGGCCTGCCTCCCGTAGGCTCTCCTCTTGGGGCTGGACGGGTGTTCGTGGGCACTCAGAAACCTCTTGACTTTTCTAATCACCGAACGGCGAGGGCCGTGCTTCTCATAATCCCACAGCCAGTCCTCGCCAGGGACGTCAGTCCCAGACAGCCTGAAACACACAATGACAAAATGCAGGCAGAGCTGACTTTGGGACCTGACTGTGGAAGCAGTCTCAACGTTAAGAAATGAGTTCTGGGCCTCCCCGGTGGCACAGGGGGTTGAGTGCAGCACTGTGAAGCTGTCCACAGCCTCTGCAGCACGGGTTCAATTCCCGGTCAGCCAGGGAGCTACCCACATAGCACAGAAGACCCCTCCTGTCTTACTCGCTGCTCCCCTCAGCAGTGTATTTCAGTCATTCTGCCTGTTCTATTCCCTGCTCTGTCTCTGGTGAATCCTCTCACCCTCCCATGCTTCTGGCCTGTACCCCAGCTCTTGTATAAATAAATCTTTTTTAAAAAATAAATAAAACATTGAAGTTATGTGACATACTTAAAAAAAAAAAAGAAATGAGTTCAGTTTTTTGGCATTCAATTTTGAAATGGAGCAGGGAGGAGGACTTTAACTTGAGATATTCTAGCAGAGAGTCTCAAACCTTTTGGTCACAGCACTTTTTGAAAACTTTTAAAAATTATTGAGAACCCAACTAGACTTGTCTATGTGGGTTATATCTATTGATACTTACTGTATTAGACCTGGTGACTGAGGAATATAAAAACTCCCTTAAGGATGTACAAGCACACACAGTCCATTAATTGCCAAGTGATGATGTCATCACATAGCCTGTCACCTCTGTAAAGTACAGTCATGAAAGAATGAGAGTGAAAATGGTAAAGAACATTTTCTGTTATTACAAAAATAGTTTTGACCCTAGGATTTCAACTTGGGGTCTTGGTTCTGAAGATTCCCAGGGGTCCCCAGAATATACTCTGAGAATCACTCACTAGAGACTTGGACATAAAAAAAAAAAATAAGATATACCATGTGTACTTTTTCCCTTATTACAGGTAAACCAAGGTCATATTTTCCTAGGACCCATAAATCCACCTCCCAAAGAGTGGATCACAAACTAATTTCAAGACTGCAAATAGCTGTTAGTATACAACTAAATACCTCTGTGCATCCATTCATTTAATTATCATAGTAATTACTATCATTCACAGTTTGCGGACAAAGAAAGTGAGGCCAGCAGAGTCACTTAAGGATGTTGTATCTAGTGAGGTCTCACTCCAAAGCCACCTTTCTTTTTTTTTTTTTTAAAGATTTATTTATTTATGCATACAAGAGCTGGAGTGCAGGCCAGAGATGTGGGGTGGCGGGGAGGGGAGAGGATTCACCAGAGACAGAGCAGGGAACAGAACAGGCAGACCGACTGAAAGACACATCAAGGGGAGCAGGGGCAGGGGAGGGGGGAGGCGGGGGGGGGGGGCAGGGCGCCGGGCGAGACAGGAGAGGCCTGCCTCAACACTGGGATCGCTCTCTGGCCGGCCAGGGGATTGAACCTGTGCTGCAGAGGCTGCGGATCGCTTCACAATGTGGTGCTTAACCCCCTGTGCTTAACCCCCCAGGGAGGCCCCTCCAAAGCCTTCTTTTTAAACTTCATTTTCTTTTACAACTCATTCATTCACTTTAATGAGGTACCATTGTTTTACAACCTTGTTAATATTTTCAGAGTACCAGATTTTTCTCCTTAGGTTTGGTCATCGTAGCTCTCCCACCACCAAAGCCCCCATAGTTCACCACAATCCATTGTGCTCCCCTCCATTCTACCACCTTTATCCTCCTGCCCCTCCTGGATGCCTTAGATCTGTCATTGGCAAAGCCTTTGTTCTTAATACTTTATTATTATTTTATTATTTTTTTTTTTGTGTGGGACCCTCGCTGGTTGGCTGTGGGCAGCCTCGCAACCCAGCGCTCAACCGCTGCACCACCAGGGGAGGCCCTTGTTCTTAATACTTTATATGTAGAGTCTGCTACATTGGTGTCAAGTGATGACAGAATAATGAGTAAAATAAAGTTCTTGTCCAGAAGTAATATGCAAGCATTTCTAGTCAATGATTTGCATTTCTGTCTGCTCACTTAGGTTAAGGAAGACGGGGATGAAGCGTGAACTCTGTGGAAAGAACACATCTACTGAGGTGGTGTGGACGCAAACTGTGGTTGGCTCTCCTCGCCCCATGAATAAATTGGATGAATTTATGTAGGGTAAAGAAAATATCAGGCTTTTCTGCCCTTCCGCCATCAGGATAGATGATGGATCCTTGTCCTGAATGCATGCCTGATGGCGGGCACCTGGAGTAGGGTGTGGGCATAGGTAGATGGGATTCAGCTGAGCTAAGACTGTGCTTTTAAGGGCGGCGTCACGGGGGGGACGGGAGCAGCCCCAGCCAGCAGCAGCAGAACCCGAAAGAGAAGCCGAGAAGCAGCAGAACGAACGCTAGAGAGCCCAGATAGAGTGAGGACTTGCTGGGGGCTGGGAGGCCTGCCAGCCTCCCAGCCCCCCAGCCAGCACCCCTGCCTGCCATATGCCTGGTGAACCCCAAATAAAAGACCTGCAAAAAACCACTGAGGACTCTGACTCCTCCTTTACCCGGTCTGTATGGGATCAGAAAAACCTGCACCTGTGCCCATGTCCTGCCTTTACAATTGGCGTAAGTCGGCAAGATCCATGTAGACGGGTATTGAGCCCTCTGAAGACCTGGAGGGACTAAGGAGAACAGACTGTTTGCCTGTGATGACGCTGGAGGCACCATGGCGGCACAGAAGGTGGATACGGTCCGGAGCTGTGGGACGAGACCTCGCAAGGAGGAGACGCCCGAGAGGACCAGGCAATGACACCGGAAAGGACCAGCCAATGACACCGGAAAGGACCAGCCAATGACCCCTGAGGCAGCAGGCCGCTGCTGACGCAGGGAGAGGCCAATGGACATGGACTGATAAACTTGGACTGACAATGCCGCCAGAAGGCGGAGGACCTTGCAGGTTGATATGTTTTGGGACCCTGGGGGTGGAACAGTTTTGTTTGTAAACCCCAGGAGATGGGAATCTGGGGGTGGCCAGTGGGCCTTGATGGCCAAAAGCAGCCTGTGCATGCCCAGCAGCCAGGTGGAGGAGAAAAGCCAACTAAGAAGGCAAAAGCTGGTACTGATGATAAGTTGAGAAGCCCTGAGCGGCTGTTAAGCAGCCTGGGTATGCTGAAGAACTGTGAGTCTCGTAAAATCACCTGTGGGTGATGCCCTGCTCATTCTTGAGCGAGGGTGAGGAGCTGAGGAACCTGTCCTTGGGGGACGGGTGGGGAATGTGGCTTGGGGTGGAGCCCAAGCCAAATGCAGAGTTTGGATCCCCGACCCATGTGCTTGTGCAGTGGTTGGCTTGAGTGCAGGGGTCTGCGAGTCGCATGGGTGGCCATGAAGGCCGAGTGTTGGAGCGACTGCAGACAAAAACCCTAAGGGTTGGCGATTACCCCCAACAGAATAAAATTGCCAATCCCAGAGCTAGTGCATCCTGGGGGTGGATGCTGTGTGCGCCTTGTAGCCGAGACTACAGCCAGAGAAGGCCAGGAAGCCTGACGGCTCCTGGTATGTTATAGTAGATGCCGTGAGTGATTCCCCTCCCTCGTATGAGCAGTGCCTTCGGCAGCAGATTTGGTGGCTCATCTGCTGGTACCAATAATTGTCTTTTGCACTTGGTTGGTGCCCTGCCTGGACTTATTTGTGTTCTGTTGTATTTTGTTATATTGTATTTTGTTATATTGTGATGTATTTGCTTTTGTGGGCCATGGCTGCATTGTTTGTTTAGAAAATTGTATATGTATGTATAGACTGTATGGCAGAAAACCCTGAGGGGGTGGACTGTAGGGTAAAGAAAATATCAGGCTTTTCTGCCCTTCCGCCATCAGGATAGATGATGGATCCTTGTCCTGAATGCATGCCTGATGGCGGGCACCTGGAGTAGGGTGTGGGCATAGGTAGATGGGATTCAGCTGAGCTAAGACTGTGCTTTTAAGGGCGGCGTCACGGGGGGGACGCGAGCAGCCCCAGCCAGCAGCAGCAGAACCCGAAAGAGAAGCCGAGAAGCAGCAGAACGAACGCTAGAGAGCCCAGATAGAGTGAGGACTTGCTGGGGGCTGGGAGGCCTGCCAGCCTCCCAGCCCCCCAGCCAGCACCCCTGCCTGCCATATGCCTGGTGAACCCCAAATAAAAAACCTGCAAAACTACTGAGGACTCTGACTCCTCCTTTACCCGATCTGCATGGGATCAGAAACCTGCCTTGTGCCCATGTCCTGCCCTTACAATTTACTATTGTGAAGTATCTCCTGTTGAATTTGAAACATTTAAGACATAAAGCATTTTAATCTTTTTCAAGCCTGAAATAAAGTGGATAATTGAGAAACAGGGTTACGTGTACCCCTGCCTCAGGGTACTCATCTGCCTACATCTCTGGTTTTACAGTCAGTGAGGATCCAGGTGGAGCTCCTTACAGCCTTGCCCTGACACTACAGCTGCTCATACTGGCTCTGGGAGCAGCAGTAACCCGGCTGTCCCCATCTAATATTATTTTTTTTCTTAATTTATTTATATATATTTTACATCATGGTTCATTTTTAAACAATGTTGGCTTTCTTTTCTCAGGTGTAGTCCCTATAGAATTTCCACCACCAATTCACCTGCTGAATATTCCAATGACATCTATGGTGATAAGACACTTAACTATGCCGGGTGCATTTTATGTGACAGCAAGGAAAAAGTGGGAGAACCTAAAACTGGTGTAACCCAAAAGGGCAAAGTGAGCAGCCAAAGAAAATGCCATTCCTCTGTGATTATGAATAAAAGATGGGTGACCGAGATGATTAACTGGCTAAATGTCCTGGGATAGCGTCTGATTACTACCTCGTGCTGTTATTCTAAAGCCCTGGCAGTGCCCTTGGCTACCAGATAGCCTTCTGGCCCACCCTCCACTGTGCACGGCTCAGATTCTGTTACGTTGACTTGAGAAATGCAGACTCATGCTTCAGTGGCCTTGGTGACCCCTGCTTCTTGGATTTCATTAGGTCAGATCTCCAGTCACACTTCAGGAACCCGTTTAGCTACAGAGGAGTGGCGAGCACAGTCA